ACAATACTTCAGTATACTCTTTTGCATTGTTAGCAGGGTTTTGACAATGCTTCAGTATAATCTTTTGCTTTGTTAGCAGGGTTTGAGTTGTGTCCATTCAGAGTCTCTATGTGCCCCATCAGTCATCCAATCTTTGACCAGGTTACTACCTATTCCATTGAATGGCGACAAAATAATTTTTTGCGTCTGTTCATGTTGCTACTTCTAACTGGACATGAGACTGTACTCGGGAAAGGACTTTGTGACTGGACATTGTGACTTGACCAACTCCCCCTCCAAAGCAAACAATGTCTGATGTAGCTCTGCGCTAAGTTTGTTCATCATCTTACCTTTGTCCAATGAAGTGCATCTTCCAAGACTTTTCTGGCATTGCCAATATCATTGAGGACCTACAGGCAGAGATTGGAAACAGGCAAATGCAGACCCAAATCATGCTGAATAATCTCTCACTAAACCTAATCAGGTTCTTGCTGATCAGAGGTTCTTACAAATGTTCTTATACTGAAGTTCTTCACTGCATATTAATGCATTCTAATGAACCATCGTTTGTACTATGCACCAATGTGGCCCACCGAGTTTTCTATTTTGGTGTTTAAGGAATTTCACCAATCCCTGTCAGAGGGCAAGCTAAACACGCAAGGATTTCCTGAGCCTCTTACACGGACGATTTTACATGAACATTTTGCGTGCCGTGCTGGATGATGTCCATCCTTGTCCCCCAGGCTAGAGAAGTATTCCCAGTGTCCACAAATAGACGCTGAAACTTGTCGGTGGAGGTTAGTGTGTGGACTTTCAAACAAGTGACAATGCGGAAAAAATGTCACACAAATCAGGAACAAGTTACTAGAACCTCTCGGGGTCAGCGTTTGTAAAGTTCAACTTCTCAACTGATTTACAAGAGTTGGTAAACTGTGAACAATGAGAAATAGTCAGTTAGACAGAGTTTTGCAGAATGGCCCACAGATCTTCCAATTGGGGTGACACCGACCTTTGCGTAGTATCTGGAGAGCTTCGTGGCAAAGAACATCTTGATCTCCGGCTTCTGGTGGGCTTCCATCCGCTGCTTGAGGATGCTGACCACTTCCTCCTCGTTGCCTAGACGACGCTCCAGGCTGATCCGTTCCAGGGTCACCATCACGAGATCAGACACATTATCTTCCAGTTTCTTGAGAATCTCCTGAGCTGCTTTAGTATTTCCTGTGAACATTGCCAAAAAAAAAAAGGAAAAGAAAAGAAAAGAAAAAAAGAAAGACAGCAATTAGGGAGGAGCAAGTGTTTCCATTTAAGTGATATTTCACTCGTTCTACCACCAATGAAAGAAATTTCCTTTTCTGTTTAATTTATTAATTATTTCTGTTAAATTTATTAAATGCCTTACTTTACTTGTCTGTTGTTGAATCATTTTGGTTGTCCAAAAAAAATAGTCATTTTTGGAGGGTTCAATGTTTCCATTTCCTATGTCAAAATTATACCTACAGAAACAAGCACAGCCAGTTGGACGCTTTTTAAAGGCAAGATCACCGGGCTGTCTGTCTGTTGTTACATGAACACAGTAAATTGGGTACTTCAGTAAAACTGAACAAGCCCACAGACTGCAGTTTAATCAGTTGTTAAGAAACTTGTTTGTTCTCTCGTTTGGGCCCTTCAAAGGTACAGTACCTTAACACGGCCCTGCTATTAAATATGCCACAGTTGCTGTATAAGTTTTCAGCTTACAGCAGTCAAGACAGGTAGCAGGGTACACTGCGCTGAATGTTCAGTGCAAATGCTACAGAGTCCACTTTTTCCCTTCTTATAGCGTATTTCATTATGCTGTCGCATTACTAAGTGCAGGGTTCACTGGAGGAAATCTGACTGGGGTTAGAATAGGCATATTGGCTACGCATGTACCTTGTTTCTCCTCAAAGGCAGCCCAGCGAAGGTGAATGCTTGGTTTCTTTGGAAGATGAATGGTGCAGGCTCTCTTGTAGACTGAGCTCACACCGTCGATGCTGTGCGGCTCAAGGTACTTGGCATACTGGAATGAAAAACCCAAAGTAGCAATTGCACTGAGGGGTTGGTGTCCCCATGACCTACTTGACACGTACTTAAAAATCCCATTTGCTTTCCACTGTGACACAAATTATGTTCCAATGTTGTTGTTAAACAGACAAACGAGCACTCTGTGCCATTGGCGACATGCACCCATGCCGAGATGCACTCCTCTGCAAGGATGTGAAAGATGTGTGCAGCGCGTCAGCGACGACCTATGAACTTATCAGGTCAATCTTCTCAATACCACTGGTGGTGGGCCACAAGGTATCTATCTACTGTTCCTCCATGGAATCAATGAGATTGGACTTGTCCACTGGCAGCCAACATGCCGTCTGGACAACCGCTTGCCAAAGCTATCCAGTATGCACTTTGTTTAAACAAAATCGTCCCGAACAGGTTGCACACACTGCTGTGCAGACTTTTTACCACTAGATTGGTTACTCAAGGACATCTCTACTCCTTTTTACTTTTACCCTCCTATGCTGAAGTCACTCTTCGGGTAATTTGGTGAACACCTCAAAGAAGCACAGCTGTGTTGTGTTGTGCACTGCACCAACAGTCCCTCACAAGAATATCAGATTGCACTTTTGTGCTGCCCAACACCTGTGCTTCACTGTTTCATGTGCATAACTGTGCAGTAAACCAA